GGATAAAGACAGGCAGGTAGACAGAAAAAAAAACTTTATGGAAAAAGGTCTCACAAATAAGTTGGTCATATTCTGTTGGTTTAGAAAGCAGCTTTTTGTCTTCTGTTAGCCTTTGTACGCTTTATATATAGGACTTGAATATGTGGTAGCAGTCTGAGGTTTTTCTGGTTGGTCAAGAAGCAGGCCTCTGAGACGTCTCAGTTGTATGTTTAGGTTGTGTGCTGTTTAGTGTGTCATAGTCATTGTTAATACATATTTGTTTAACCCAGTGTGCCTGACATACAGTTTTACTCTTTTCACCAAAGCTGTGCCAGAGAACAAAGAACTCAGGTGCCTCTAATTATACCAACGCTTGGGTATATTCTTGGCAAAATCAGTACAATTTTAAGGTTATGATTTTTTATTTGAATTATTGATTATCCTGCCTGGTCTATTTGAAAATTCTCTACTTTTGTAACTCCCTATTGGTAACAATTACATAAAAGACATCAACCCATGCACAGCCATTACACATTCTTCCTACAGGAATCCACACAGCTTACGACAACCTGTAATTTAGCTCACTGAACAATCACTCCAAGCCCCTATAATAGCACATGACCTCTTCAATTTGCATTTAACCACTGATTGCACTTGCCCATAAGCAATGCTCATTTATTTATTAAGTAGTTTGATTGAACAGCTTGATAAAAGAATTCCATTTTGTAAAATGCGCAGTGAGGGACTCTAAAACTTTTGTTTGAAGGCATCAATTAGTATTATTCCTGCAGGACCTGTGAGGGATCAGAGGAGATAGTAACAGTTAGTCTCAGCATACTCTTAATGTGAGCCATTTGAAAGAAATGCTCAAGGGACTGCCCTGCTTGTTACACTCACCCCACTACAGCACTATGGGGCGTGTCACAGCAGCAGGCACCAGTGGCCATGCCTCCACTCTGCCCTGATCACCGAGAAGACAGGATATGCAGAGCTCTTGTCAGTAGTGAGAGCTCTCATGGTAACAGATGCTCTAGGGTACTTAAACCCTCCTCTGTCTCTCCTTGACAATCCAGCATTGACGTTCACATCACAACACTCCTAAGCCATCCTCCAGTGTCCCAGCAGTACCCTTTGTGTTCCTGGTTTCCAGCTGTCTTGGGCTCCAGCTGGTAGCTCTGCCCATGGTTGTGCTGTTCAGGGGCTGCAGGCTGCTGAGTGTGGAAGCGAGGCCAGAACCTCATTTTGGATCTAGGATTCAGCAGATGACTCCCTCAGCCTGGTCTCTGGTGGGCCTTAGAAGCCTCCCCTGAATGGCTGCCCCAACTGGGAATATCCTGCCTGGCCCGTGTGTCGGACCCCCTCAGCCCGGTGCTCCACTCTGGAACTACAAATAATTATAACTTTATGTTATGGTTATTGGAAGTGGCTATTCAAGTGCTTTAAGAATCTAGAGACAATAATTAAACATTTGCAGTTCTCAGGAGCTTCAAAGCAAGAAGGGAACTTGGGTGTCTGCTCAGTCAAAGAGGGTCTGAGACACATTGCTCAAATAATTGTCGCTTTACGTTCTGGGTAAATGATTAGGAATGATCACCAGTTGAGGAACAGGGGATAAAGACAGGCAGGTAGACAGAAAAAAAAACTTTATGGAAAAAGGTCTCACAAATAAGTTGGTCATATTCTGTTGGTTTAGAAAGCAGCTTTATGTCTTCTGTTAGCCTTTGTACGCTTTATATATAGGACTTGAATACGTGGTGGGCCTTAGGTGGGCCTTAGAAGCCTCCCCTGAATGGCTGCCCCAACTGGGAATATCCTGCCTGGCCCGTGTGTCGGACCCCCTCAGCCCGGTGCTCCACTCTGGAACAAGCGCAGTTCAAGACCTTGGTGGCACTCTCTGTCCTGCTCTTACTTTCCCCTTTTCCTGCAGTCCTTCCCCAAATACCAGTCGTAGTCCACCTCCCTGCATCCCGGGTGATCCTGGCAGACTGTTCTTTAACCCGAGGATGCCCCTGCTTCTGGAGCCAAGCCACAGATCTCCCTCAACCATCTCGTTTCATAGCCCATACACATAACCCATACACAAAGCCACTCACATACACATAGCCAGCCTGTCTTGCACCTGAGGTGCAGTGAGACTGTCACCTCCCCCTAGACTGTGGCACCCTAGCTCTTGGGTCCATTTCATCATTTGGAGTTCTCCCTGGTTTCCTGAGGGCAGCATCTGGTCATAACACTTAGTGCACCTCAAGAGTCCATGTTGCATTTGTTGAGAAAATGTGAAAGAGCTGTGACGGCTTACGTTAGAAAGGAATAAGCCAAGATAAACATTAGAAAGCTGTCTAAGGTGGAGAAACAAGCAATTATGAAGATAAGAAACAACAATATGGAACCAC